TTTACTTATGATTTTACTATATTTACCACACTTGTTAGGTGGAGTAGACACAGAACAAATAGAGGGCGATGTTGAGTCCTCGTATTCAAATTTAGGGCTGCGTGGATTTTGCAGTCAACACAAATAAAACAGGTTAGGATAAAAAATTTTGCTGTTCCTTTCAACAACAACAACAGCAACAAAATTAATAAAGAGTTAAATACCCGCACAGACTCGCTCAGACACTCACACATAACGCACGCGCGCTCACAGACACACCCATTTTGTAAATGTATGTCTTAAAAATTGTCATCAGTCTGTAACCTTGCAGTCTTCCGTAAACACAGTCTGGACAGTGATAATCAACATGAAACTAGAATTTATGCATGGATTATCTATAGGACTCCTGATTACTTGCATTGCTCTAAGTTTAAATAGTCAAATAGCGAATAGGTTCATTCAATCGACGATACCGTATATTAGTAACGTGGAGAACACTTTTGAACAAGGATCTAAAAGCTTTCGCCTCATGGATGACAATCATGCCCACAATGGTATGGTAATTATTTTAAATAATAAAAACATATTTTACTCTTTTTTTTTTTTTTTCTAAACAGCATTCATAAAGTCGACCCAGCTTCATAAAATTAAAGATCTCAAATGTGGGATACATTTCTGAAAAAATGTTTGAAAGGAATGACAAAGCGATAAAAGAGACCAGGTGGAAAGCTGCCATGCATCTCAGAATAACGTGGTCTAGAAAATGTTAGGATTTCAATCACTCAGACGCCGTCTAGACAACGAAGATTCCCTACAATGGATCTCCAACCCTCCAGAAAAATAAAAAAGCAGACAACTGAAATGGACCAAGAGGTGAGGAAAAGACGCTGGCGTTGGATAGGACACACTGAGAAAACATGAGAACAGCATAACTAGAATGTCTTTGCATTGGAACCCAGAGGGGCATACGAATAAAGGAAGGCCAAAAAACACATGGAGAAGAGAGCTATAAAATGAAGTTAGAAAGATGGGGAGGACATGGGGAGAGCTCCATGTAATGGCGAAGGATAGAACAACTTGGCGTGAGTTGACTGAGAGCCTTTGCTCCATTGGGGGATAGAAAGGCAGAAGAAGAAGAACACAACTGAAATATTTCGGCCACTTTAAGAGACGTAACACTTCTAAAAACCATACTGGAGGGAACTGTCAAAGGTAAGAGAGTAAGGGGTAGACACCGATATGAGTGTGTGTTATCAATAAATATTTGTTTGGGTTTCAGCAGATCAGTATAAACGCTGCGATTCACAGTATTATGGCCAGCAATTACAGTTATTATTGTAAAGCCACATCACTGCACAAAGTGAATACAGTTAAGTAATTTCAAATGCAGATCCCCGTGTGGTTTGCGGGGTATATTAGGGGGGGGGGGGGGGGGACGGCGGGAGAGGGAGGGAGGGAGGGGGCACTTCACCTAACATGCATGTTTGTCGTAATTATTGATCCTTTTTTTTCGAAATTAGAGTGCATATGCCTAACAGGCCAGGAAGCAGCAATCTGCACAGAAAAAAAAAACCAGATCTGTTAAACGGTTGAGCATGCAAAACTCCAGGTAAGTTGCACGGCCTGTTAATTGGAGACTACCTAAGAGTTCCGCGGTGGGCATTCGGGATAAGTGGGCAACTTGATAGATTTTTCCTCCCTGTCCACAGTCTAAATCTTAATGACTAGCGATCGACGTTCACTTATAGTATGATATTACTTCTATTTCCTTTTTGTAGTTGTTTAGCCAGTCATCAGATCACATATTGTCAAATATTGTATGGCCCCCGCCTCACTCTTCTTTCATAACTTGCAGTTTCTGAGCTCAGAGCGATGGGGAAAAAAAAATATTTTAACATAGTCTCCAAGAAATGTTGTTTTGGAAGACATTTCTCTGATTTCTCTGTGAAGCCCTTTGCTCACCACACTAATTAATCTCAGGGTCCTAAATTTCCAAGCATCGAAGTAAACATTTACAGTTCAGTCTTCTATGGGATTCCTTGACCAGTCAAACAGTCAATAGTCGGTACCACCCGGTTCAAACAGCAGGTTCTTTTGCAGAAGATTGCTCTCATTAAGGTAAGCCAGACAAGAAAATTGATTTCGTGCTAACTGACCTGCCTCTTGACAATCTGTGTCCACTGGTTGACACGCTGGTCGACTCCTGCCTCTTCTTCACGGGACCATATCTACCATAAGTTTTCTTTTCAAAAACCCTTAAGCGAGTAATGAAACCTATGTCCCAGTCATTCCCTTTCTCGGATTAAAAACATAAATGCAGGACAACCCAGAAAGCTAACAAAAGAGCGGTACACCTGTAACCGGCAGACTAGCCCAACAAAATTATGAATGGCACGTGACCTTATTTTTTGGCAGAAGACTAACGTTTGATTAACATACATACATACATACATATCTCCCAGAATTGCACATTAAATTGTTTGCTAATGTCGAGTCACATGCGCTTTATACTATGTATGTATGTATGTATGTATGTATGTATGTATGTATGGATGGATGGATGGATAGATGGATGGATGGATGGATGTTATTTGCTTATATGTTGATTCCTTGAATGTGAGTCTTTCCCAATATTTTTTTCCCAGTCTCTGCGCACATGTGATTCAGTCAGGTTTCGTTAGCCTCTTTGGCATGATTTACAAGGGAAATTACAACTGTGGTTTTCCCCTTGCCTTTCGCCGGTTTGTCTATGGTTTGACTTCAAAAGTCTTTTTCTAAAAGACATACTCTTCAAGGCAGCAGGGTGGAGAGGTTATAACGGCGCCTCTCACCCCCGACCCCAACTCCATCCCCCGATGGCCATGTCAGGTTTGTAGGTATTTTACCGATCTAGTTGTTCCACCAGCTAGCTCGCCTCTTTTCAATGATCACCACTTGTTTAAGTCCGCAGCCGCTTATTCAATATATTCGCTGCAAACATTTGTATCTAGAGGTTTTTACACCATCCGCCCACCGGTGGACGCACTTAGTAGTAGGACAAGCTTCTACCCCAAGTAGCTGATCTTACACCATCTTTTTTAAAATGACGCTGCTCTGTGACATTCAATGACACAACAAATTTGCATAAGATGTTTTCATTCGTCTGAAATGCACATATTGAAAATCCTCTCCCTAACATTTGGACCCCAACTACCTACTAAGATTATGACTACCAATAAAAATATTTCGATTTCACTAATTATTTTGAACAGACAGACACAGTATGTACAATATAGTTAGTTCGTTGTGCGCAACAATCTTCACTTTTAAACAGCTGTCACAAAATTGCATCAATACAACATTCAATAATATGGTGGTCGAAGTGTTTTCGGTTATTGAGAAAAAAAAAAAATTTAGATAATGACACGAAGCACATTTTCCTTGAGCAGTCTGGTCTGATGATTCTTTCTTGGTGAGGCAAACAGTAGTGACCTGTTCTTTTTTACACCGCACGCACATAGGTCATATATGCAGTGTTAAAGCCATAGATGTGTTAAGCGAACGTGTACTAGCCTATAGACATGATACTTGATTTTTTTTTTCGTACTCACTCGTGTGCAGTCACATTGATTATGTAATTCATGTCACACGTGTGGACATTCGTCTTGCGATGTGTTTCTTGCCATCACTGATGGCAAGTCGTCTTAAGTTCGTGAATTCCGATTTTTCATGTTATTCGTAGCTTTTTAATTGTATCGTATTCACTTGTGACCATTAGTCTAGATTATGTGCGATGATTATTATTAATATTATTATTATTATACTGTATAGGTAACAAAGTCTAGACTAATGTTTCCTAAATTTGCCCTTGCGCGACAAAACCCTTTACAGTGAAAAAGAATCTCCCTGCCCCTTTTTCCTAGAAATAGCATCGTCACTATCATGTGCCATGCTGAAAAGTATAGGCAGTTATGATTAGCCATCCGATCAGCAGAATCATTGATCATGTGCTGTTGTCCCCCCCCCCCCCCCGTTTTCTTTCTGTTATTTGTCTAGAAGATCGTCAAGCTCTCGAGTCTATTCCTTGCGTTTTAAAATATCTTTTGTAATCTAACAACAATTTTAATTTAATGGCAGTTTTGTTTTGCATCGTATTTATTTCCTCTCCATATAAAATTCTCTGGTCTGTAATTCTTCTCTTCAGTTCAACTTCATAGATTGTTTTAAGAGTACCTTTGACATTTCAAAGCTCTGAGACAGGTTCGGCTGCATAAGGTTTTCTGAAGCCTTCATAAGCTCTGTCTTTCCATTCTAGGAATCCAAAGTAGGCTCTAGTGAAGATTATTATAGGGGTGATTAGTAAAACTGTATAGTTTAGATCGTGTTAGTTAGTTGCGTATCCTTTACATGACATTGCAGAACAAACCCCAGAATCTTTTGGCTGTTGTGGTTTTCTAGCAAATTTACGTCCAGTAGTTTACCATTGCCTACTGGACGGTCGACTTCTCCGTACCACTGTCGAAACCAACAAGAGACAAACCGTACGCAGCTGGGATCGAAACCTGCATCCCGGCATTGCGAAGCTCATTCGCAACACCTAAGTTACAGTTGGTGTTAACAAGGTGGGGGCGGTGGGGGGGGGGGGTGATAACGTTTTTATAATGACACGACCTGGAAATATAGAAAAAAAAAGTGATTCCATATCCTCATGAATAATTTTACTAATGATTTTACTGTATTTACCACACTTTTTAGGTGCTTATGTGGTGCAGACACAGAAAAAGTAGAGGGCTATTTTGAGCTCTTGTTGTATTCGAGTTTAGGACTGCGTGTATTTTGCAGTCAATACAAATAACACAGGTTAGGATACATCTGTTCCTTTCAAAAAATTATTAAATAAAGAGATAAATACACGCACACACTCACCCAGACACCTACACATAACGCACGCACGCTAACAGACATACCCCTGTTTTAAATGCATCTCTTTAAAATTTCCCTTTGTAAGCTAGCAGTTTTCTGTCAGGAAGGTGATAACAGACATGAAACTACAATTTATGCATGGATTAATTATAGGACTCATAATTTCTTACATTGCTTTTAGTTTGAATAGTCATATATTGAATTGGTTCATTCAATGGACGATACCGTATAACAGTAACGTGGAGAACACGTCTGAACAAGGATCTGCAAGCTTTCGCAGCATGGATGACAATCATGTCCACAATGGTATAGTAATTATCTTAAATTTAAAAAAAAATATATATATATTTTACTCTTTTTCTCCCAACAGAATTCCCAAGATCGGCCAAGTTTCAAATACTTAAAGAAAAAAAAAAATTCTTGTTAGCAAAATCTGTGTTATCAGTAAATATTTGTTTTGGTTTCAGCAGATCAGTGTAAACTCTGCGCTTACAGTATTATTGTAACAATTACAGTTACTAATATAAAGCCACATTCCTGCATAAAGTTAATACAATGGGGTAATTTTTAATGCAGATTCTCATGTGAGTTCTTGGCCATATCGGGGGTGGGGGAGGGGGGGGGTGAGAGGGGAGCACTACACCTAACATGCAAGCATGTAGAGAAAGGCAACTATTTTAATTATTAGTGCCTCTTTCGACCTAATCAGTTAGTTAGTTAGTTAGTTAGTTAGTTAGCTAGCTAGTTAGTTAGTTAGTTAGTTAGTTAGTTAGTTTTAGTTAGTTAGTTAGTTAGTTAGTTAGTTAGTTAGTTAGTTAGTTAGATAGTTAGTTAGTTAGTTACTTAGTTAGTTAGTTAGTTAGTTAGTTTAGTTAGTTAGTTAGTTAGTTAGTAGTTAGTTAGTTAGTTAGTTAGTTAGTAGTAGTTAGTTAGTTAGTTAGTTAGTTAGTTAGTAGTTAGTTAGTTAGTAGTTAGTTAGTTAGTTAGTTAGTTAGTTAGTTTAGTTAGTTAGTTTAGTTAGTTAGTTAGTTAGTTAGTTAGTTAGTTAGTTAGTTAGTTAGTTAGTTAGTTAGTTAGTAGTTAGTTAGTAGTTAGTTAGTTAGTTAGTTAGTTAATTAGTTAGTTAGTTAGTTAGTAGTTAGTTAGTTAGTTAGTTAGTTAGTTAGTTAGTTAGTTAGTAGTTAGTTAGTTTAGTTAGTTAGTTAGTTAGTTAGTTAGTTAGTTAGTTAGTTAGTTAGTAGTTAGTTAGTTAGTTAGTTAGTTAGTTAGTTAGTTAGTTAGTTAGTTAGTTAGTAGTTAGTTAGTTAGTTAGTTAGTTAGTTAGTTAGTTTAGTTAGTTAGTTAGTTAGTCGTGTTAGTTAGTTAGTTAGTTAGTAGTTAGTTTAGTTAGTTAGTTAGTTAGTTAGTTAGTTAGTTAGTAGTTAGTTAGTTAGTTAGTTAGTTAGTTAGTTAGTTAGTTAGTTAGTTAGTTAGTTAGTTAGTTAAGTTAGTTAGTTAGTTAGTTAGTTAGTTAGTTAGTTAGTTGGTTAGTTAGTTAGTTAGTTAGTTAGTTAGTTAGTTAGTTAGTAAGTAGTTAGTTAGTTAGTTTAGTTAGTTACTTAGTTAGTTAGTTCGATAGTTAGTTAGTTAGTTAATTAGTTAGTTAGTTAGTAGTACTTAGTTAGTTAGTTAGTTAGTTAGTTAGTTAGTTAGTTTAGTTAGTTAGTTAGTTAGTTAGTTAGTTAGTTAGTTAGTTAGTTAGTTAGTTAGCTAGTTAGTTAGTTAGTTAGTTAGTTAGTTAGTTTAGTTAGTTAGTTAGTTAGTAGTAAAGTTAGTTAGTTAGTTAGTTAGTTAGTTAGTTAGTTAGTTAGTTAGTTAGTTAGTTAGTTAGTTAGTTAGTTAGTTAGTTAGTTAGTTAGTTACTTAGTTAGTTAGTTCGATAGTTAGTTAGTTAGTTAATTAGTTAGTTAGTTAGTTAGTTAGTTAGTTAGTTAGTTAGTTAGTTAGTTATTTAGTTAGTTAGTTAGTTAGTTAGTTTAGTTAGTTCGATAGTTAGTTAGTTAGTTAGTTAGTTAGTTAGTTAGTTAGTTAGTTAGTTAGTTAGTTAGTTAGTAGTTAGTTAGTTAGTAGTTAGTTAGTTAGTTAGTTAGTTCGATAGTTAGTTAGTTAGTTCGATAGTTAGTTAGTAGTTAGTAGTTAGTTAGTTAGTTTAGTTAGTAGTTAGTTAGTTAGTTTAGTTCGTTAGTTAGTTAGTTAGTTTAGTTAGTTAGTTAGTTAGTTAGTTAGTTAGTTAGTTAGTTTAGTTAGTTAGTTAGTTAGTTAGTTAATTAGTTAGTTAGTAGTTAGTTAGTTAGTTAGTTAGTTAGATTAGTAGTTAGTTCGTTAGTTTAGTTAGTTAGTTAGTTAGTTAGTTAGTTAGTTAGTTAGTTAGTAGTTAGTTAGGTAGTTAGTTAGTTAGTTTAGTTAGTAGTTAGGTTCGTTAGGTAGTTAGTAGTTAGGTAGTTAGTTTTAGTTTAGTTAGTTTAGTTAGTTAGGTTAGCTACTTAGTTAGCTAGTTTATTAGGTAGGTTAGTTAGTTAGTTAGTTAGTTTTAGTTAGTAGTTAGTAGTTAGTTTAGTTAGTTAGTTAGGTTAGAGTTAGTTAGTTAGTTTAGGTTAGTTAGTTAGTTAGTTAGTTAGTAGTTAGTTAGTACCAGTTCTATGTTGATTAACAAGTCTTATGGTGTGTCTGGTGTACGTCTCGTTTTTTTGCTATGCCAATCTTAATTCCACAGTCTGCCATTATGGATACTGTTGTGGATTCCCTGCCCCCAATGTCCTCTATTTTTCCAATTTCTCTGAGGCCATTTTTAATGCAGATTCTCATGTGAGTTCTTGGCCATATTGGGGGTGGGGGGGGGGGGGTGAGAGGGAGGGAGCACTACACACCTAACATGCAAGCATGTAGAGAAAGGCGACTATTTTAATTATTAGTGCCTCTTTCGACCTAATCAGTTAGTTAGTTAGTTAGTTAGTTAGTTAGTTAGTTAGTTAGTAGTTAGTTAGTTAGTTGTTAGTAGTTAGTTAGTTAGTTAGTTAGTTAGTTAGTTAGTTAGTTTAGTTAGTTAGTTAGTTAGGTTAGTTAGTTTCGATAGTTAGTTAGTTAGTTAGTTAGTTAGTTAGTAAGTTAGTTAGTTAGTTAGTTAGTTAGTTAGTTAGTTAGTTAAGTTACTTAGTTAGTTAGTTAGTTAGTTAGTTAGTTAGTTAGTTAGTTAGTTAGTTAGTTAGTTAGTTAGTTAGTTAGTTAGTTAGTTATTTAGTTAGTTTGTTAGTTAGTAGTTAGTTAGTTAGTTAGTTAGTTAGTTTTTAATTTTTTTTTTAATGTTGTCCTTCCAGGTTCTTCTTTGTTCTACTTTTCTTCTACTATTCTCCAAGTCCCTTGAAGCAGTCTTTGCAATCGAATCATGTGTTACTATATGCTTAAACCAAGCTAGCTTGCGATGTTTCACCACTGCTCCTGAAGTACTGCAAATTTGTATATTTTGTCTTGAACATATTTATTAGCTTTGTGTTTTAAAAAACTAAGCGGCGTCCATGGCTTAGGCGTTGCGAGTCCGACTCGTAATTCCAACGTACCGCGATCGAAACCCACAGCTTGCTGCGTTTAATTTAATCATGGCGTTGCAAGTCGACCCAGCCTACAATGGGTACCAGGATGTACTGGGAAAGTAAAGACGACTCCAGGGTAATGATAACCACATTACCCACCTTGTGCCGTTTGGTCTGTAAAAATATGGGTGCTCTTCCCATACGTCAGATGCACCGACAAACGTGAAAAAGAATCTTAACTTTTTTTTTAAAACTAAATAACTAATTCGTAAAATGCGTTTACAACATTTACATTCGAAAGACTGAATTCCCTTTTCCATTTCCACAGTATATACAGTATATACACATTAAATTGTTTGCTAATGTGGAGTCAAATGTGCTTCATACTATTTAACTACTGCTTTATTAAACAGACACTGTTTGATAGTTATTATTTGCATCAAATTTTAGATGATGATTCTGTTGCCCAGAAACTTCAACAAAAAGTTCGTGTTCTTGTTGCTGTCATGACGGCTACAGCGAATCTGCAGACCAAAGCCCAGGTAGTTAAAGATACGTGGGCAAGGCATTGCAGCAAAATTATATTTTTCAGGTACACTGAACTCGAGAATTATTATTATTATTATTATTGTTATTATTATTATTATTATTATTATTATTATTATTATTATTATTACTTTAAGATTTATTCAGGATACAATCAGATAATAAGGGTAATACTGTTAATGTAAAACATCAGTTCTCATTCTCCTTCTCCTCCTTATCCTCCCCTCCTTATCCTCCTCCTTCGTCTTCTTCTTCTTCTTCTTCTTCTTCTTCTTCTTCTTCTTCTTCTTCTTCTTCTTCTTCTTCTTTTCTTCTTCGTCTCTTCTTCTTCGTTCTTCTTCTTCTTCTTCTTCTTTCTTCTTCTTCTTCTTCTTTTCTTCTTCTTCTTCTTCTTCTTCTTCTTCTTCTTCTTCTTTTTCTTCTTCTTTCTCTTCTTCTTCTTCTTCTTTCTTCTTCTTCTTCTTCTTCTTCTTCTTCTTCTTCTTTCTTCTTCTTCTTCTTCTTCTTTCTTCTTCTTCTTCTTCTTCTTCTTCTTCTTCTTCTTCTTTTCTTCTTCTTCTTCTTCTTCTTCTTCTTCTTCTTCTTCTTCTTCTTCTTCTTCTTCTCTTCTTCTTCTTCTTCTTCGTCTTTCTTCTTCTTTCTTCTTCTTCTTCTTCTTCTTCTTCTTCTTCTTCTTCTTCTTCTTCTTCTTCTTCTTCTTCTTCTTCTTCTTCTTCTTCTTCTTCTTCTTCTTCTTCTTCTTCTTCATATATGACGGTTTATTTCCTATTGTCTTGGTAAGATTCGATAAGGCAGAATAGTATGGGGTGAGGGGGAGGGGCAACAGAGCTTGTGCCTTCGTTGCACAGATATAATTTCTATTTATCATTCACAGCACTAAAGAGAATAAGGCATTTCCAACTGTTCGTCTCAATGTACGCGAAGGTAGAGATCATCTCACTGCCAAGACAATGGCTGGATTCGACTATATGTATGAGCACCATTACAACGATTTTGATTGGTTCATGAAGGTAAGATCTACACATTTTTTTTCAAAGGTAACACTGAGTTCTTGGAATTTGACCTAAGAGTGGCTCAACTGTTGTTTACACGCTCAAATGTAATAATAATGCGAAGTAGTAGACGAAGAACAATAAGAACAAGGACAAGAACAAGAAGAAGAACTATACAGCTTCAAAATCACGAAGTAACACCCTAATTAAAACGGTTATTAAAGAGAACTGATCGGTTAAATGGCAGCGTGAAATAGCAAGCATGCGATAATTTTCATTTTCATTAAGAGTTGGGCAGAAAATAAAGGAAACATTCTAACTGTCCAAATGTGACAGTTAATCACATGTTAGTGATACCGTAGTGAATGAAACAATGCGTTGATACTCACCGGCATCAATACATGAAACTGAAACAGCTCACTGCAGGATGCCCTGCTCAACCATACGTGCACTCACTTGAAAACAACAATGTGGGACCTGTATTAAAATCTGTGCTTTGGGGTTAAACGATTTAAAGAAATATCAGTTAGTGGCGAACCCTTAAGGTCGCTTTAAAAAGATACGAAAAGTAATTCATGAATACTCATTATCATCATTGTCCTATTGTCTCATAATAAGCCCCACAGTGTTCGCAGACTATTTCTCCATTACTGCAAAATCTGTGATATCTTAGTGGGAATCCATTCCAGCCACTTTGGACTCTCTCATCAATGTTTGTTTTATGGTGTCTTTTAGACACAGTTGCTTCCCTGGCCAGTTTCATTCTAATGTAAGTGCATGACTTGTGAATCTCTGCTCTTTTGTTTAGTTCTGCATTAAGGAAAAGGTCGACTGCGATGACTGACTGACTGACTTTCTACCCCACCAGGACATCACACAAGCGATAAACACCCGATGACACAATGTGCCACCTTGTGGATGAGGATCACCGTGGAGAGGTCCCAGAAACCGCGTTCAGCCAATCGGCCATATTTATGGCCTAGATATATTGCGGCCCCAGGCAAGAGCCAGGGTGGGGCTTCAAATAACGAAAAATGTCATCCTAAAAAGGACGGTGAATGATCGTCGTCTGCGATTTGAGAGCCTCGGTATTTAAACTCATGTACAGCCAACACGTCATGGTTGTGAACGCTAATGCTTAGTGGGTTTACCACATTCATCCTCATCATTTGCGTTTTGTTGAGATTGACAGTTAGTCAACATTTTTTTTTTTTTTTTTTTTGCATGCATTTGCAAAGCGATTCATGAGAATCTGAAGGTATTTTCACTATGAACAGTAATGGCAGCATCATCCGCAAACAAAACGACGCTGAGGCATCTTGTCTGCACGTTATTCCTTGCATGAAGCCTGGGCAGATTGAAAAAGTTGCCACCTGACCTCACCTTCAGTGGCTGTCCTAAAAGCACGCTGAAGCAATGCAGTGAAGAAGATGCCAAACGATGCGGGAGCCAGAATGCAACCCTGCTTTATACCATTACGAGTTTGAAATGATGAAAATGGCGAATCTTCATATATGACGGTTCCTTTCATATTCTCATGGGCAGATTCGATATGGCACAGCAGTATGGGTGGAACACCGTATTTGGCAAGTATCTTGAACAGGTTATCTCTGCTAACATAATCGGAAGCCTTAGTGAGATATATGAACTCAATAAACAGTGTCTTCTGCTGCTCCCTGCACTTCTCTCATAGCTGAAAAGATCATATTTACTGTTGATCTCTGGATTCTAAATCCACGCTTTGATTTCAGATATACATTGTCCGGTAGAACCTGCAGTCTCTTCAGTATCATGGGAACAAAGACTTTGCAGACGAAGTTTAAGAGAGAGTTCCACGACAGTAATTACAGTCGCTTCTCTTTTACTTATTTTTGTAGAGTGTTATAACGTTGCTTATTTTTGTAGAGTGTTATAATGTTGGCATCTCTCAATTCTAGCGGTACCGGTTTTTCTTGCCAACATTGACAGAGAATCTGGTGCAGCTTCGGAAGGATGCTTGCCTTGAGCATTTCAGAGTCTCGGGATATCATCGTTGCCTCAAGCCTTTTCCATGAGAAGCCTATCTAATGCTTCGCTGATTTATGTTACCGTATGCTCAACGTCTAACTTCAGGTTAAAATAGATGTTTGTAACGCAGAGGATGGTCATGAGCTATGCTTAGCTCTCACTCTTGCATTAGGTCTCCTAGAATGAGTGAAGTATCCTCGTCTGGAACCTTACTGACTGCGGTAGTGAGTTCATTGTAAAACCTGCCTTTTGATTTAGAAGAAGACGTTGACAGGGTTGCTTTATAGCACTCACAAGGGTTGCTGGTCCTACTCTTGTTTGGATCTGGATTTTAAAGACCCCTTCTTATTCTTGTGTAGGTGGTGTGATGTTCCAAACAAACTTTTACTGATTGCAAAACTTACGCTTGTTCCTTGGGAACCGACAATGGTTTTTCCTACCAAAAGTATGTATAGTCCTTTCTCCTTGATGCTGCCAGAGAAAGAAAGTCGTGTTTCCTGTAAAGCAGCTATACCCATGTTCGGTCTGAATAGTTCATTGTTGATAACTGCAGTCTTCCCAGCATCGTTCACGTGCTGCAAAACTTCTAGAAATGTTTTTTTTTTAAAATACGCATTTTATTTGATTTAACAACAGAAGCGTATTCTTTCCGTCAATTGAAAAGTGTCCTTGGCTTTATCATCGTTAAGGAAGTAACACAACGCACACCTATATATACACACACACAAACACACATTCAAAGTTCATTTTCAGGAGGAAATGGGGGGGGGGGGGCGGGGGGGGGGGGGTTGGTGTTATTATTTTACAAAGAAAGTCACTGAAGTTCAAGGGCAGTACATTTAAATTGAAAAAAATCATGGATAAATAGATTAACAGGCATTGATTGGTTATCGTAGAAGCAGATATTATACCTTCTTTGTGCTATCCTAACCATTACTGCTGTGCAGGCTGACGACGATACCTATGTGATCATGGAAAACCTGCGTTACTTTTTGTCAAGCCAGAACTTTAGAGAACCTGTGTTCTTTGGTCACCATTTTGTACAGTTTGTCAAGCAAGGGTACAACAGGTAAGATGGCTGGTTGTGGCTTACTTGAAGAATTAATGGACTACGATGGAATGAGATGTGTGTGCAAGAAAGTAATGACTTTGAATCAACAGAAGTTGTCCTAAAGAAGAAGAAGAAGAAGAAGAAGAAGAAGAAGAAGAAGAAGAAGAAGAAGAAGAAGAAGAAGAAGAAGAAGAAGAAGAAGAAGAAGAAGAAGAAGAAGAAGAAGAAGAAGAAGAAGAAGAAGAAGAAGAAGAAGAAGAAGAAGAAGAAGAAGAAGAAGAAGAAGAAGAAGAAGAAGAAGAAGAAGAAGAAGAAGAAGAAGAAGAAGAAGAAGAAGAAGAAGAAGAAGAAGAAGAAAGAAACAGAAGAAGAAGAAGAAGAAGAAGAAGAAGAAGAAGAAGAAAGAAGAAGAGAAGAAGAAGAAGAAGAAGAAGAAGAAAGAAAAGAAAAAGAAAAAGAAAAAGAAAGAAGAAGAAGAAGAAGAAGAAGAAGAAGAAGAAGAAGAAGAAGAAGAAGAAGAAGAAGAAGAAGAAGAAGAAGAAGAAGAAGAAGAAGAAGAAGAAGAAGAAGAAGAAGAAGAAGAAGAAGAAGAAGAAGAAGAAGAAGAAGAAGAAGAAGAAGAAGAAGAAGAAGAAGAAGAAAAAGAAGAAGAAGAAGAAGAAGAAGAAGAAGAAGAAGAAGAAGAGAGAAGAAGAAGAAGAAGAAGAAGAAGAAGAAGAAGAAGAAGAAGAAGAAGAAGAAAGAAAGAAGAAGAAGAAGAAGAAGAAGAAGAAAGAAGAAATAAGAAAGAAGAAAAGAAGAAGAAGAGAAGAAGAAGAAGAAGAAGAAGAAGAAGAAGAAGAAGAAGAAGAAGAAGAAGAAGAAAGAAGAAGAAGAAGAAGAAGAAGAAGAAGAAGAAGAAGAAGAAGAAGAAGAAGAAGAAGAAGAAGAAGAAGAAGAAGAAGAAGAAGAAGAAGAAGAAGAAGAAGAAGAAGAAGAAGAAGAAGAAGAAGAAGAAGAAGAAGAAGAAGGAAGAAGAAGAAGAAGAAGAAGAAGAAGAAGAAGAAGAAGAAGAAGAAGAAGAAGAAGAAGAAGAAGAAGAAGAAGAAGAAGAAGAAGAAGAAGAAGAAGAAGAAGAAGAAGAAGAAAGAAGAAGAAGAAGAAGAAGAAGAAGAAGAAGAAGAAGAAGAAAAGAAGAAGAAGAAGAAGAAGAAGAAGAAGAAGAAGAAGAAGAAGAAGAAGAAGAAGAAGAAGAAGAAGAAGAAGAAGAAGAGAAGAAGAAGAAGAAAAGAAGAAGAAGAAGAAGAAGAAGAAGAAGAAGAAGAAGAAGAAGAAGAAGAAGAAGAAGAAGAAGAAGAAGAAGAAGAAGAAAGAAGAAGAAGAAGAGAAGAAGAAGAAGAAGAAGAAGAAGAAGAAGAAGAAGAAAGAAGAAGAAGAAGAAGAAGAAGAAGAAGAAGAAGAAGAAGAAGAAGAAGAAGAAGAAGAAGAAAGAAGAAGAAGAAGAAGAAGAAGAAGAAGAAGAAGAAGAAGAAGAAGAAGAAGAAGAAGAAGAAGAAGAAGAGAAGAAGAAGAAGAAGAAGAAGAAGAAGAAGAAGAAGAAGAAGAAGAAGAAGAAGAAGAAGAAGAAGAAGAAGAAGAAGAAGAAGAAGAAGAAGAAGAAGAAGAAGAAGAAGAAGAAGAAGAAGAAGAAGAAGAAGAAGAAGAAGAAGAAGAAGAAGAAGAAGAAGAAGAAGAAGAAGAAGAAGAAGAAGAAGAAGAAGAAGAAGAAGAAGAAGAAGAAGAAGAAGAAGAAGAAGAAGAAGAAGAAGAAGAAGAAGAAGAAGAAGAAAAAAGCGCATCAATGAGAACAATTTATACAGATACAGTGGTAACGGAACCAAAAGTCTACCACGCAGATATGGATCAAAGAAACATCAAATGAAATGTACTTTACACTATGCGAACAGAATGGACCGTTCTATCGGGGGCGGCGAGAGGGGGGGGGGGGGGAGAGTCTAGAATAGTATTTACTGAAAGGAATATATACTAAACATAATATAGACTCACGATGAAAGAAATATTCGATCCACATCAGTTTCTCGATGATATTTCCGAGCACATGAGTTTAATGTCGCTGAGAGAGAAACAATTCAACTGTGTGAATTGATCTGCCCTCTTTACTTTAGTACTCCTTTCATGAGTTAACATGCTCTCAAACATAGTCGCATTTCAAAAGGTATTCTTAGTTCAACCACATGAGTTCACATTCACAAACAATGAGAATCAGGAAATGAATTTACATGGGTGTGAAACTCATAAGAAGTGCGTTGCGCTGTTTGAAAAAAAAAATGGGAATTATAAATATCTCAGTCAATGTAGCTGGATGCTGGGATAGGTGTCACAGCAACCCAAGCATAGATAACAGTGGGTTTTCTATCGGTCATATTATTAACATAAAATATTCAACACTAACTCAAGTGAAGCTTTGAATGAAATAGGAGCCTAATCTCATTTAATAGAGGTAAGAAGTTAGGTAGGATGAAATATAATTATTAAAATTATCGAGCCAATATACTAAAAAAACTTAGCAATATTCATGGCATTATCCTCTCTTTTTCGTCTCCAACAGTGTGCTCTTAGCAACTCAGCATTATCTTTCCACGCTCTTAAACTAGACTCATTATTCTCTGGACTCAATTTAAATTAAGGCAAGACAGTTATTTATTGGACACAACGGAACGTCGTGGGGGACGGGCCTCGGTGAGCTGGTTCTGGTATGTAGTCAAAAAGAAGTCTTATCCCATAAAATTCCATCGTGTCCGATATGTCTGCCTGGCATTATCTTTCCACGCTCTTAAACTAGACTCATTATTCTCTGGATCAATTTAAATTAAGGCAAGACAGTTATTTATTTGACACAACGGAACGTCGTGGGGGACGGGCCTCGGTGAGCTGGTTCTGGTATGTAGTCAAACAGAAGTCTTATCCCATAAAATTCCATCGTGTCCGGTATGTCTGCCTGAGTTAATCTGCCATTTAGACAAAGAAGTCCAACATAAATCCGATAAACTAACCGCAAGCTTGCCACTTGGTCGTTTAGGTATGCTGACTGCTCTAATATGCTACCTCAGCGACTATAAATAAAGTTCGAATCTCATGATACTTGTTGCATAGTCACCAATTTCGTCTTGTCTCTGTTCGAGAACATCCGGTAATACGTGCAGCAGGAGCAGATCAAGCCTGAGATTCATGAACGTAGGTGGGCCCATACTCTGAAATTGTCTAGGAGCTCGTGGGCCAAAACAAATGTAAACGTGGGATCACTTCTACTGATGATTGGTAGACTCCTGCTATACATAAACTCCCTGTGGAGTTTCTTCTTATATAAAACTAAAATCACCATAAGGTTAAATACGCCTAGTAAGGTTTAGGTATAGTGAATTTACACCTGATTCCTCTTCATTAATCGTCTCACCATGCTGGAAATCGGGCTGGTCGAGATTTCACATAAGGACATAAATTATCAATTATTAAATATAATTATATTAATCAAATATACCACTTCACATTTCTAGTATTTAAAAGAAACATTATATCAATCATCAAATGGATTATATATTTACATACGTGTACATATTAGAGCATAAAAATGGTTAGAAATGATAAAGAAATTTATCAAGGTTTCTCCCACATGTGAGCAGCAAATTCATAGCAAGCTGATAAAAATGAATTCAGAGGAAATTGCAGCAATAAAAATCATTAGAATAATATAATACTATTTATTAACTCACCCCTGGAAGGGATTTCATACAGACAAATAGACCAGCACTGACTACCAACTGTGGTAAACTAAGTCAGCTGAGGAGAGAATACACTTGTCTCCTTTCTAAACCGTGTCTGATTTTAAAAAAGAGGTGAAGTGCTAATAGAATAGGTTGTTGCGTATCCTCTAGAGGACGTTGCAGAACCAACCCTAACAGCCCCTGGCTGTTGTGTGGTTTCTCTAGGCAAATTTACGTCCAGTAGTTTGCCATTGCTTCCTGGACGGTCGGCTTTCTTGGTACCACTGTCGAAACCAACGCAAGGCGCATTGCCCGCAGCTGGGATCGAGGCAGTTATTAAAAGCGGAAGCTAACTCTGGCTGGATCCCCCTACTTCTCATTCACATTTTTTCACTTTAAAAAAAAATTATTAAAATAATTAATTATTATAATATTGCTAATACAAAGCAAAAATTAAAAAGTAAGAAATGTGATAATATTGCCAAGCAATAATTAAAATTAAAATTGCTGCAACATACTACGGGAAGAAATACAATATAGAATACACACTGGGAACAAGTAAACTATTGTTTGTTTTGTTGTTTGTTTTAGTATCCAGAAGCCATGAGCTGTTAACCCTTAGGCTCGGTATTATGGATATCGCCACCTTTTGGCCTTGATTCCATTGTAAATACCGTAAATCTGGACAAAATGTGGCTTTTCTGCATACCCCCGGGAGTGAACCCGGACCACAAGTAGCTCGTCACCCGGTCACCGCGCAATCCGGTTTAGCCAACAACGCTAGAGAGCCGGGTAAAAGTATACTATATCCTACAATATATGATAAAATCAAAGTCTCTGTCTTCTTATACAAAATTCATAATATATATATAACACGCTGATAAAAACGAGCTGTTTCTGAAACTTTAAATACATCTAAAAGAGATAAAGCCTCATTACACATTGAAAACAGTCTTACCACAAATCTTTGGACTTATCAAAGATGCAAACAACGGAAAATGGAGAGTGAAATGCAACAACAGAATTCATTACATGTTTAGATTACCACTATCACCGGCATAGAGAGGGCATATGGACTTAAATAGGTGAAACATATTTAGAAAATGTCAGATGACAGAACGTTAAAACTGTTCACAAGAGAGCTGAATGGTCTTAGACCACGAGTCAGACCAAGAAGACGGTTGGGAGAAAATAAACAGGCCAAGTACAAACATTTGAAGTAATCAACTGGAAAGAGACGACTTATCCAGGATATGAATGGAGGCGGGTGATATCTGCAGCAACAAATCTCAAGAACTCGAAATGCCGAAGAAGAAGAAGAAGAAGAAGAGGAAGAAGAAACAGAAGAATATCTGTCTGTATGTACGTACTTATGTATGTATGAATGTATGCTTGTGCGTGTGTGTATGTATGTATGTATGTATGAATGTATGCTTGTGCGTGTGTGTATGTATGTATGTGTGTATGTATGTATGCTGTGTGCGTGTGTGTATGTATGTATGTGTGTATGTATGTATGTATGTAAGTATGTATGTATGTATGTATGGCATGTATGTATGCATGCATGCATGCATGCATGATGCATGCATGCATGCATGCATGCATGCATGCATGCATGCATGCGTATGTATGTATGTATTTATGTATGTATGTATGATATGTATGTAATTGTTGTATGTTATGTATGTATGTTGTACTTGTATGTATGTATGTAGTATGTATGTATGTATGTATGTATTATGTATGTATGTATGTATGTATGTATGTATGTAGTATGTATGTATGTATGTATGTATGTATGTATGTATGTATGTATGTATGTATGTATGTATGTATGTATGTATGTATGTATGTATGTATGTATCTTGTATGTATGTATGTATGTATGTATGTATGTATGTATGTATTATGTATCTATGTATGTATGTATCTATGTACTATGTATGTGTATGTATGTATGTATGTATCTATGTATGTATGTTATGTATGTATGTATGTATGTATGTATGTAGTATTATGTATGTATGTATGTATGTATGTATCTATGTCATATCTATGTATGTATGTATCTATGTATGTAGTATGTATGTATGTATGTATGTATGTTATGTATGTATGTATGTATGTAATGTATGTATGTATGTATAGTATGTATGTATGTATGTATGTATGTATGTATGTATGTATGGTATGTATGTATGTTATGTAGTATGTATGTCCTGTATGTATGTATGTAGGTATGTATGTATGTATGTATGTATGTATGTATATTAATGTAATGGTATTATGTATGTATGTATGTATCTATGTATGTATCTATGTATGTATCTATGTATGTATCTATGTATGTATCTATGTATGATCTATGTATGTATGTATGTATGTATCTATGTATGTATTATGTATGTATCTATGATATGTATTCTATGTATGTATGTATGTATGTAATCTATGTATGTATGTATCTAGTATGTATCTATGTATGTATGTATGTATGTATGTATGTATGTAGTGTATGTATTGATGTATGTATGTATGTATGTATGTACTTTATGTATGTAGTCTGTATGTATGTCCTGTATGTATGTATGTATGTAGGTATGTATGTAATGTATGTATGTATGTTATGTATGTATGTTGTATGTCTGTATGTGTATGTATGTATGTATGTATGTATGTCTGTATGATGTCTGTATGTATGTATGTATGTCTGTATGTATCTGTATGTATGTATGTATGTCTGTATGTAATGTATGTAGGTATGTATGTCTGTATGTATGTATGTATGTATGTATGTAGTATGTCTGTATAGTATGTATGTATGTATGCATGTATGTATGTATGTATGTATGTATGTATGTATGTCATGTATTGTATGATGTATGTGTTGTATGTATGTAATGTCCGTGTCTGTATGTATGTATTATGTATGTATGTACTGTATGCTATGTATGTATGTATGTTGTATGTATGTATGTCTGATATGTATGTATGTGTGTGTGTAATGTGTATGTATGTGTGTGGTGTGTGTGTATTTATGTGTGTGTGTGGTATGTTCTGTGTGTGTATTTATGTATGTATGTGTGTATGTGTATGTGTGTATGTGTGTGTGTATGTGTGTATGTGTGTGTGCGCGTATGTGTATGTGTGTATGTGTGTGTGTATGTGTGTATGTGTGTGCTTGCGTATGTATGTATGTGTGTATGTGTGTGTGTATGTGTGTGTGTATGTGTGTATGTGTGTATGTGTGTATGTGTGTGTGTATGTGTGTGTGTGTATGTATGTGTGTATGTGTGTGTGTGCGCGCGCGCACATGTAATCTTTGAATTTAACACTCACACAACACCACACTGTGGAAAACAGTTTAACTTCACTCTATAAATAATGTCAATGCTATTTGAAATTATTTACATACTGTTAACCTAAGATGCATATTAATCTCTCTACATGCCGTCATGAAGTGGCGGTGCCGGATATGTCCTTAGCAAAGAAGCCATACGAAGAATAAGTCAGAGAGGAAATAATTCCAAATGCAATGAAGATGGCAAATACGAAGATATCGATATAGGACGCTGCCTTGAAAACCTTGGGGTACGACTCGCTAACAGTACCGATGCTCTTGGAAGGAACAGGTTCCACGTGTTTACTCCTTCGACTCACTTAAAGGGACAATATCCAAAGTGGTTTTATCGTTATGATGCCCGCGGCGGTGCAAAGGTGAGATTCTAACTGCATTAATCCCATATTATTATTATTTTTTTTTTTATTATTTTTTTTTCTTAAAAGACACACGTTGTTACTTTGCGACGGGTGCTGTGGTATCGTATTTTCAACCTGCAGTATTTTTACACTACCAATCTAAGAGAATGAGCGCGCGCGCGCGCATTCTCGCGCGCGCGAGAGAGAGAGAGGAAGAGAGAGAAGCAAACAGACAGACAGAGAATGGTTCATTATTTCAACAAATACATGTCTATGCTTTCAGCCCTCTCATCACACACCCACTCCCAATTCCCCATACCCACCTTCTCAATAAATAGACTCGGTAATAGCTTTAACCCTGTACATAAATGCTCTTTACTAGTGTCTCATTAATTTTTTCACATTATTGCATATGGATTGTTAAATTCATTTACCTAACATGACAGTATTATTAAAAGAACTTTTACTACATCTTTATGCGTATGGGGTTAGATATTTATTTTATAGATAATCGGCACTCTGTGGCGATATGGTCAACATCACGACGGCCGCCTTCACTTCCCATGACTTAACATGTTACCCCTTTTAGGCTTAGGGCCTGAACCCAGGACATTCGGATCCGCTAGCTAGCGCTACACCACGACTTTTCCCTAAAGTATCTTTTTACTGCTTTCTCAAGTAAGAATTAGACCCCTGGAAGACTCCAGTTTGTTAGGCCCCTCCAAAAAGTTATTCTCTACGCATCGGTGTCTCTGGCTTTATGCAAGATACGAAAAAATTGTCACTTTAATTAAAAGTAATACACTGGTGCTTATTTTCGCTGTTGTTGAAATTTGTAGTAATCCTATGGCATCAGCTTCGAGATTTAGAGTTAAAAGAGGTAATGTGAATCAATAACTATTCACACAAAAACTCAGAATTAATAACGATTTTACAAACTTCTGTCTAATACTTTTGGGATAGAGAAAGCTTGCATTCGAAAGATAAGAGGATATAATTTAAAGTTACTGATTAAATGTTTTGAAGTTATTGTGTACTAAAACAAATTTTGATAGCACAATCTATGACTGAGATTTCAAACAAGAACCACTGGTATAGAGCAAGAGTGAGAAGCACATGGTATCTGCCAAAAAACGCGCAAGCACACTGTGGGTTAACCACAGCTTGTTTTTCTGCCCATTATGAAGTTGTGTAGTTTTTCCGTCGTAAGCTCCTTCATGTAGCCCTCCAAACCTACACTATCATCTTCTGTCTTGTGCCCAGAGACACAGCAACCCTGGCGACAACTAGAAATGATGTCTTAAACCCTTCAGTGTCCTTGCTACATGATTTAGTTACAGTTCTCGCCATGACGAGCTCATGGTCCTTGTAGTCTTGTCCACCCATCATTTCTCACGAATGTTTTAACATTGAAGGATGTTGTGATTCTTTCAGAAATTTCTAAGTGTTAACTGTTTGTCAGAGATAACTTTGGGAGTCGCCGTTGCCGAGCAGTTAGACGCTCGCCACGTATCAGAAGGTCGTGGGTTTGCTCCCTGGTGAAGCCGGACTTGTTTCAAAAATGACCATGGCTCCCAGGTCGACCCGGCCTTGAGTGGGTACTGGGTGCAGTCCAGGAAAAGTGATGGCAGATGCCGTGATACTGACCACAACACCCATTTTGTGCCGATTAGTCTATAAAAATAGAGGTCTAGCCCTAAGGCGTCGAAAAGGGTCCTTTACATACAGAGATAACTTTAAAACATCGAGAAAATGTGCTTTAGTGTTAGTTTCCTAAAGTTGGCAATAACCAACTGATCCCTGGCAGGGAGTAGAGGCTTCATGTTAGGTAATAAAAACTTTGCCTGCTGTCCTATGCAGCAACAACAAAAAAAATGTTATTTCAGGATCTATTCTTCAGTAACTGAGGTTTTGTTTGAAAAAAAATATGTGTTTTACTATAATACTTTGTTGGAAATCCGAGCTATTCCAGAAGGGAAATCATTCGAAAACCGAGGTTCCACTGTCATTGAAATCAT